TAAATAAATAAATAAATAAATAAAAAGAAGCCTTTTTGCCCTTTCTTTGCCTTGAGGGAAAGGTTGCTGCATGTGAAAAACTCTTGTTAAACATTGGAGAGTCCACTGGTGGGAAAGCTGCCAGAGGACTCGTTGGAATGAGGGGGAGGCCAGCTTGGGCAGTGGCTTGCAGGGCACCACACCACTGTGCTGCTTCCCCACAGGGGGACGAGGCAGGTGCTCCGTTTTCAAGCCCTGGATCAGCCCTGCCACTCCACTTTTTGGCCAAACAGCAGCAATCACTGCTCTGTTTGGCAAACAAGGAGTAGAGGTGTGTATTTAAAAGCCTGTCCTTATGTCTCCCAGTTAAGCTTCATAATCTGTGCTTTTATTACAGGAAAATTTAGGAGCCTAAACAGGCTGATAATGTCCCCTCTAAGAAGAAATTAATAGAAAAATATGGGATATGTAGAAAAGAGCACTTGTACTACTGTCACTGGAAGTGAAAAAAGAAGCTACCATCTCCCAAAGCAGTTAGGAAAACAGAAACATTTTATATTTCACATCACTTAATAGGTAGGAAGAGGAGTAATTAAAGGGAGCCATCTAAGTAACCACAGCAGAAAAGTCAGGGAGTATAAAGAAAACTCTTCAAGATGAATCCCTGGGGTAATTATTTCATACAGAAGGACTTCAGAAAACAGAAGTAGAAGGTGAAAAGGGTAGTTCCAGATGTTAGATACAGCAAAGTGTCTGAAAACAGGACTAAAGGGAAAGGTGAAGAAAGTGGAGAAACTTCATTTCTGAAAAATGAAGAGCCAGCAGGAGCTCAAGTGCCCCTGTAGTCCCTCTGACTGTAAGGGAGGAGAGGGTGACAAGATGAAAGTGAAAATCAAAAAGAAGGCTCACAAAAATAAAATTATTAATATCGGAATATTTCTTTATCTATGCAAACTCTCAGTCACTCAGGGCAACTGCTCATGTAGTCTGCCATTGCTGAGCCCTGAACATCTCAGATATGGGGACAGATGTCACAAGAGGTGAGAAGCATTCAAGCAAAAGTCCTTCCAGAAGGTTTTAGACGTGAAAAATTAAAGCTCTGCATGGAAAGCCCTGGAGAAAGGAAGTGGGACAAAAGGATATTAAGCCAATGTTTCATTTCCTCTCTAAAACTCACCTGTGTGGGGAGAGCCAGCACAAAGCCTCTGCACATCATTGACAATAACAAGTTATCATCCAAGAGCTATTTTGCAGCTCTCCTTGCACATCAGGCTTTGCTCCTTGGTGGGGCGTGAGCTGTGCTCAGGAGGGCAGCAGGCTGCCTGCATCAGGGAGCACCATTTACTCTCCAGCCAGCAAGGCTCTGGGGGGCATAGACTGACTAACAGGGTACCAGTGAGCTGGGAAACACAGAGGTTGGGGGCGGGGACACGTAAAGTTTCATGTCCCTATCCCAGGGATATTGGATATTGCTATTGGATGCATCAAGTTCTGCCTGTATGTGGTGCAGGTGAAAATGGCACAAGAGGGTCGAGATTAATTACTGCTCAGAAGTTTCTTCCAGTAGACTGGAAAGATAATTAGAAATAGTGTAGGAAGGTTGAAAGTAAGCTGCAAAGGGCACTGCTGGTGCCCCATGAACTGCATGGAAGAGCTGCGTGCCGTGAAGCTGAATAGCCACATGGCAAATAACTCTGCTTTCTCCTGGTGACCAAGGGCACACACACTAGAGTCGCTTTTTCCGTGGGAAGCAGGACATTGAGCCATGGTGCTAGGTTGAACACAAGATGGTGGTGCTAAAATATTATCAATGAATAAACACTCTTGGCAGTTTTTAATCCTTAGAGTCCCAATAGGTAAATAAGTATAATTTTCCTTCAGTAGACAAGAAAAGAAAGCACAGAACATTGGACCAATTTACCCACTAAAACTCTGATACTTGGTGGCAGATCTAGCAATGAAACAGAGATCCCTTACTCATTTCTGTGTCATGTGCTGCAGGCTTGGAATCAGTAATGAAGCTACTAGAGAAGTAGAGAACTTATATAGAGCATTACTGATAAAAGCAGTTAAGCAAATGTATAAAGTAAATAAATACTGTTCTACTCAAAAAACAGAGAAGAAGAAAGGAAACCATTACCTTCCCGAAGCAGAAGCGCCTGCTCCACTTTGCTGTTGGGTACGGCAAGATCCAGGGCACATTTGAATTCAGCATTTCTGCATTTCGGGTTAGCACCATAGTCTATCAGCAAGACGACTACCTCCACGCTGGATTTCCTTGCTGCTGCATGGAGGGGGGTGTCTAGTCTCTTCCCCATGTTAACGTTGGCTCCTTGAGTGAACAAGAGTGCATGGTTAGATCTGGAAGGCAGCAGGAACTGTCTGAACCCACATCACACAGGCTGGTTTCCACCATTAGCCTCAAGAAATGAGGATGGATGGCACACAGGCCTCCCTCATTTCTCTCAAAAGCAGCAGTGCAAAACTCAGCAGGTCAAACACCTGCTGTATAAAATGTCCTCTGAGGCACTGAACCCTGTCTGCGATGGACAGAACTGAGCAGCTTCACCTTCAACCCAATAGATGTTCAAAGCCTCCCATATGGTCTGTAAATTTTATTATAACATGAAATCTAACATAGATTATGTTAATTTAATTACAGGGGGAAAAAGACCCTTTAGGTATTTCATTGTAATAACTCTGGGACCACAGCAAGTAAAGTGCTTGCCCTGGGCTCTCCGGGCACAGCAGAGCCACACTTCTAGCAGGTGTAAATTAGCTAATGTACACTGACAGCAAAAATTTATGCTAGCTCATAGGCTATTCCTGGACCTGCAGTGATTATTCTTTCAAGCAGGTTTACTGCTGTTGTCATCATCCACTGAGAAGTGGGTGAAGTTAATGCCTAGCATGGCAGTTTATCATAATCAAGAGTTGATTTTGGTCACTAATATTAGCCAGCACTGTGCTTCCTCATACCATTCTAGAAAACTATTTTATTTTCACACTTGAGACAGTCTCAGGGAGGTCTCTGTAATTCGGGCTTTTCTTACTGAGGAAGTCATAAATTCTTCACGAATGCAGGTGAAATTTTCAAGAGTCTGAAACAAGTCTCATAGACTCAGGCTGCCCAAATAACTCTTGTGGAAATAACCCACGATGTTTGCTGTGGAGAGGCAGCCCAGAGAAAACAGCAGTGCTGGCTTACACCACCACAGCTTTCCCCTGGTTCCTTTTCTGGGCATACCTAGCTCCAAAAGCTTCTTGACACAGTCTGTCCTCTGGTACGTGCAAGCCACGTAAAGCAGGGTCCCATGCTGTAGGTCTTCTTGGTCAATGTCAACCCCATGGGCAAGAAGGATCTCCATGCACTCCCTGTGACCTGTGGAGAGAGGAGCCATCACTGAAGTGCTGCAGAGCCATATACACCCAGACACAGTCAATGAGGCAAAAGAGCTGGGAATAAGCCAAGCCTATTTACCCATACCAGTACAGACAAGGGTGGCTTTTTTTGGAAAAATATTTTAACATCTATAAAAGATGCATTCCTCACTTAGTTATTGTTAGCTTCACTCATAGCCTGAACATTACCTCTCTTGACTGCTTCATGAATGGGCGAAGGAAGGTGGTTCCTGAGCTGCGGCTTGGCTCCAAATTCGAGCAGCATGTTGACACAGGCCACGCTGCCACTGCAGCAGGCGTTAAACAGAGGAGTGATCCCATCGATGGTGACTGCATTGACCTGGAACAGCAAGATACACTCAGGATAATCCGATTTAAGAGGAACTCCCTTGCAGCGTGCCTCATGTGCACACCAGAAATGCACCAGAAAAAGACACCTGTCTTGTTTAATTTCAGAATTGATTAACAACTTTCAGAGTTATATGTTGTGGCACAACATATATAACATTCTCCTTTGAGGTCTGCCCTCTTTCCCGGATAGCTAGTGCCATGAGACAGCAACACTGACTGCTATGAATGATCCTCCTAGAGTTGCTCAGAAAATGCAGATTTTAATTTTCTTTTACGTGGAGAACTTGAGTATCTTCATGACCATCTAGTTTGCACCAACCCAAAGCCAGAATATGCTCAGATGAAAATGGCTTTGCTTTTTATATGAAAGCATTTACTTCATGTTTAACACTTTCATCTGGAAACACATTTCCAGCAAAATAAATTTTCATGGAAACAGTCTTAATCCTGAACAGAAAAGAAGCTTGAAAGAGTTTGTTCACATGCATGGGGGGCAGGGGGAAGGGGGTGTAAGAGAGGAAGAATTTCCTTCCTCCACTACCAGTGTAAAGACCTGGCAAGAACCAGCATCCGTCATTCTTCTCTGGGCCAGTGCAGTCCCTGGCTTGTGTTGCGCCCAGTGCTATAGCTCCTACATTTCACTACGTAGCCAGTCTTCAGAGGCAATTTGTGCGGCAAATCTGCATGTCTTTAATTCTGTGGCACACTGGAGAAAAGTAATGGATTAGGCAAGCATGTGGCAATTTGTGCAGTTTCCTAATCAGGGAAAAGAGGAAAGAGATGGGAGTGGAAGGGCTGGAGAAGTCCTGGGCCACCAGAGTCAAAGTCAGAGGACTTTGCTATCAGTGCAAGCACAGGAGCTGCATCGCAAAGGGGTCGGATCACTAGGGTAGAAATACCTTAGCTCACTCAATCTAACTAGCAAGATATTTTGCCTTTAAAGCAGAGAAAGGCAGTGATGTCTAAGAACCTATTGGTTTATTCTGGGTAATTCAGCAGCGGACCGTCTGCAGTTGATACCTTCCTAGATATCATTTGTGCTTGTTCATTTGAACTACTGACTTGTTTACAATGCTGTATGAGTTAATTTCTTTTCCCTCAAGGTTCTTTGCCCACAATTACAAGCCAGTTCTCGCCATTTCCAGTGTTTTCAGTCTTGCAGTCTTCAGCAGCTGCCAACCGCGCAGCAGCCTGTGCGAGGCCATGTTCTCCCACATCAATCTGCACTTGCAGATAAGGCAGGAGGAGGAGGCAGCCCGTGCTCCTTGGTACCTCCTCTGCTTGCTCACTTTCATGGAAAACCAGCAGGAACAGGCCTGGCTGGAAAATAATGATGACAGTGCCAGGAGGCTGGCAAGCCGGCATGGTATTGGGAGCTACCAGGTACAACAGCACGAGGGACATCCATCTGCTCATATTCTGGAGCCAAAAAATCCAGCTTGATCTTCCTGAAATTCCAAGGCTCTAACTAAGACTGTTACAACAGCATCATCACTACAGATCCCAGCCTATTCCTTGATCTTCCTCTCCTCCTCCTGATTGCTGAGCTAAACTATCCCTTATCCTGCACACCTTCTAAAACAGCAAAAGGAAAGAAATAGATATGCTTTGGGGGTATCTATATTTCAGATTACATGCTGCAGCCCAGCACTGCCCTCCACCTCCCCCCAGTCTCATCAGGCAGATGTGGCTGGAGTTGCTGGAGACACTGGGAGTCTATCAGCATAATTTCACAACAGGGACAGCAATTCAGGCAAGCTGATAACCAAGGGTAAGCAGGGAGATAAGTGAGGAATAAAAATTACTTCCTTGCTTTCCCTCTCTACAGGCCGTTGCTTTAACTGGTAAAAGAGGAAAGAACAGTAAGACAGCTGTTGTGGAATAAATGGTTTCGTAAAAAAGGGAAATAAAGAAGAGTACAGCAATAAAGGAGAGCAGCAGAAGAGCACATTTTCTCCCACAAATTAGACCACAACCTGTTGACTTTATAAACAGAGAGCAGGGGAAAAGCAAAAACCAAAAACCACAGAAGCTATACATTATACCAGTAACAGGCTGATTTTTTAGGAAAGCAACAAGTAGTACAGAGATTATTTCTCTGAGTTATAAAAAGGCAATGTCTTTGATTTACCAAAATCAAGTAAAACTGAACAAAAAGGGATTTTTCTTCCCTCTTTTTAAGGGATTGAAATTTGGCATACAGTTTAGGAAGTTAACAAATGAATTTTCTTCTACCAAGGATAGCTTGATTGCCTCTTATGGTGTTGCTCAGTTTCTTGCTATATAAACTGTACTTGAAAGCCCAGCTGAATGAAATATATTCTTACATATTTCATCCATTCCTGTATCTCCATTTTTAATATGTATCCTAACTTAGGTCCAGCTGGGGAAAATGTTATTTTATTAGCAGATAAAATGTTCAATTGCTTCAAGCACATCTATTTTTACTTACGTGAGACTCCCAAACCTTCCCACAGGAAAATGAAGGCAATCCCAGTGATCATTATAGGGGAAAAAAAGGGATAAATCTTTTCCTTCAAGGCTATTTTCACCTAGGAGCTCTCATTCCTTTTCCATCAATCATGACTAAGTTTCACACACAGGGGGAAAACAAAACAGAACAACAGAGTGACCCAAGTAGCCACCAGGGGAAGGCAAATCATTACCCATGGAAACAGAGCGCTGTTTTATTTTTCCCCATTTCTGCCCAGGATGCTCCGGCCCACCCACAGCCTGGATTTGCCATGCAGGCAGTCCATCCAACATCCCCACTGATGCAGGGACCATCCATGTTCCAGGCTCCCACATCCCTGCCAGCATCCTCAGGACTCACCTGTGCACCATTCTCCAGCAGCACCTTGGCGCAGGCGACGTGGCCACCCAGGCAGGCCTCGTGGAGAGCTGACACACGGTCCGTTGTCACCAGGTTCACGTCGAAACCCTGCAACGCAGGGCAGGGGGCTTGAGGGGAAAGCCCTGCCAGAACTAGGCAGTTCCCCCGGGGCTGTCATGGGTGCAAAGGGCATTCAGACCCCAGGTGCATGTCCAGGGAGGGTGCATGGGTTGGATTAATGCTGTTCAGTGCTTCGGTGCTCATCCCCAAAAACGGCAGCTGGCGATGGGGTTAAAGAAGAAGCAAGGGCGAGCCATGGCTCCTGTTTCTAGTTCTTTACAATAGGCAGTCAATTGCAGGAAAGACATTGCATTTCTTTAGCTTATAAGGGTGCTGTTAACTTCCCTATTAAGTCCAGCATCAGGAGCTACAGCTCATGAGATTCACCTCCCCAAGTGGTGGCCTCTGGCACAGGTACCAGCAGCTTGGCTGGAGCCCTTGGCTACGTCAGTGGGGAGAAACAGGCTCCCCTAGGTCATGATTCATCCCATGCTAAACCTGCTGTTTCTAGTCAGCCAGATGAATTGTGTCCCAAAAATACTGCCACTAAGTATATGGGGTGCCTCACTCAGAGGTGGTAAGTATCTGGTAAATCCTCATGATAGATAAGACAAATCCCACCCATGAATAATTTCCTCTTATTTGACCACCCAGGAAATGCTTTACACTGGAAGGAAAGAAATGTTATTTACAGATGCCTTATTACAGGTATTAGCCTAAATGACTCTTACATCTGTTCCTGTGCAAACAGAAACCAGACATATTCACAAAGGGGAAAACAATTGTCATCTGCATTTTCCCCAGAATGTAGGTAAATCTCCTGGTAATTAATATTTCACAGCCATGTGAGAGAACAGGCCTGGAAGTAGCTCCATGTTCCGCTTGATGTCTGGTGTTTTGTAACACAGTTGGTCTCTACCTGATGTGCTGTAAACTCGGCAGCTCACAAGATGGCAGCAATGTACTTTTTGGTAGGCAGGAGCAAGTGCAATGGGCAGAAGTCTCTGGGAGCAATGCAACACTGTAAAAGTCACCAGTCCCCATGCAATGAGCATTAAAAGCAACCACTGTAACCACTTCAAGGCAAATTCCATGATAGAAAAACAATCGGTTTTCAGTTACGTGAAAGCATTATTAATGTAAAAGCTGTTGCTAAAATTTCGTGTACATTACGTCAGGGGAATAGATAAAACCTTGAAAAAAACGTTGAGATTATTCCATTTTCTAATTGTATAGATGTTTCATACTTAATCATAATGTCTTCTAGACAGTCCTGATAAGAAGAGGAGACCTGTTCCCAACCACTATTCAGATAAAGATATTTAAAAAACAAAACTCAGTCGCTGCAAGTGAAAGAACAAGTATTGATGTCTCAGGCAAAACAGCAACCTCTTCCATCACAAAATTGAGATGGAGTTGTAGATCTTACTATAGCTGTTTGCCAAATACTGCTCTTGTTAAATTTTGGTTTCAGATGGTTATAGTCTTCACAATTCACTGAAAAAAATCAAACTCTTATTTCGGTGCTGGAAGAGGCATTGATAAGTTCTTGAGCTCTTTTAAAACTCCAGAGTTCCACCATCCCCTTATGTCCAGGCATCCCTGGGGAGCAGAAGCCACACTGGCTTTCCTGAAAGCTTTGGTCCTACAGCAGAGATTTATGAGTGTTCCACATATGCTCTAAAGTACAGCTCCATATTTAATTTTAGGCAATGAGCAATGATTATGCTGTTCCATGCTATCAAGCAACGGTGAATCAGCTCCAATTCACTCTCTACAGACATTGCTGCCCTGATCTCTTTTCATCAGCAAGGACCCTCATCCTTCACTCCCAAAATTAAATGTCTTTGGGAGAAGAAGAAAGGGTGGATTAGTTAAATTATTTATAACCACAGCACCCGGTGCTTCTCCAGTGTATAACCATGATCAGTGTATAACCAAGGCATCCTGTGTACAACCACAACACCGGGTGCCCCTCACCAATAAAATGGTGTAAGGTCTGCATAAATGGAGATAGAGGGGGTCAGAAAAACAGCAAAGCCCTGAATGAATGAGCCCTCTTCCTCATTAACTCTAACCTCCATCACTTCCTTTTCCATAAAATCATTTGGTATCAGCAGGTGAAGAAAAGGAAGATCAGGAAATAGGAGGAAGAAAAGTGGCCATAAACAGCAACTTCTTTTAGCTGCAGCCATGCCTCTGCCTGGAGCAGAGGCTTTCACACTGGCAGCTCCACTCCTTGAGGACATTGTCCATTTGAGCTGTGGCTTCACTGGTAAAAATTATTTACCTTGAATATAAAAAGCCTGATGGCCAAAGCCACAGGCCTTACACTCGGGGAATTAATGTCCCTACAGCTGTCTTGGCTGGGTGTGGGGGCAGTTGCTCATTTGTGCCGGATGAGGGCCCTGAGTTTAAGTGACAGGGATAAGGAAAGAGGCTTGGCAAAGCACGAAGAACCATAACCTGTCCCTTTGCAGCTGCTCATGCTCATATCCAGCTTGTTGGCCTTTCCAGGATATTCTTTCCTTCTCTCTTTCTTTTGCCTGAACTCTTGATTTCATTTAGAGTAGAGGGTTTCAAGCTGACAGCACTCTCTTTAGTAAGATCATGCTTGCTGTTTTATAAAGCGAGACTTACTTTTACAGTTTTCTACTGATTTTTTGAAATAGCTGATGATACATGTATATATATATGTATAGTCCCTATTCTCAAGGCCAGTTTTCATGGTTTATCATTGAAAAAGAGCCCAAGGATCATACAGCAAGCTACAAACTGTAACAGTCTTTGTCCTGGGCTTGTCTCCAGCATCCTAACTAAGCAAACTAATACATGCCCAAAGGTGTGCATGTGAATATATTGTTTATACAACTCCATTTCTTATGCCCTGCTCCAGTCTATTATCAGCTCACCAACTCACAGATGCAATTCAACAGAAACTACACTGCTTCCCAACCTTTTCTTTACCTGTGGGCTTTTACCTGTGGGCTTTTACCTGTGCAATCAAGGTTTTTAAAGACAGGAGGCGTCCTTGGAAGGCAGCATCATGAAGAGGGGATCGGTCTGCCCAGCTGCCTGAAACAGCAAATGCGTAAAAGTTAATTCAGGTCAGCAGCAAAAGCAGATCCTGGGAGGACAGGGGAAAAACAGCTGCATGTAAATGCAGACCAGGACCGAAATCAACATGGGGTCAGCAGTGAAACCATTTGATAAATAGATTTCAGCAGAGCAGCTGAGGGCTCAGCACTCCTGAGAAAACTGGCCACTCGCTAAAGACCTAAACAAGAGTTTACTGGCAGAACTTTTAAAAACAGCTAAAAACATGCTTCAGAAAAAGACCACAAGTTTAGTGCTGCTGGGACTCACCCAGGGACTTCAGAGCCCTGTAATTCTCCTATTCAAAACTGTATCAGCCTCCATCGTTCCTATGGAGGAAGCTTTTGTCACAAGTCATATTCCAGCTTCTCTTGCACTTCTTTAAGAGATTCATAGGATGACTTGTCGATCAAATTAATTCTGGCAGGTCCCTGGCAGTTTTATTTCCTGGGCTGACAATTTCATGAATAATATCCTCCGGCTCAGACTACCAGGTAACAGTTTTCATCCTCCTCCTCACTGGAAGGTTTCAGAAAAGACATGGAAAAATAAATTCTGCCTGAGGCTTTACTTTTCTTCCTTAATCATTCTGAGTTGTTGAACTGTTCAGACTCCTTCATGTAGGCTAGCTTGCCCTTTTTCTTATCTTAATCTATTCATGTGCCAAGAAAAAAAAATCCTTAGCCTAGCTACCACCTACAGGCATAGTCAGTCAGCCAAGGTTAAATCCCTCCAAGTCAAATGGAGAGCAAATGGACTTGTCCTATATTAAAATTTGTAACCATACTGTGACACTGTGTGCAGTAAGTATTTCTCCAAAGGCCAGCTGCATTGACAGCACCACAGGACAGTGTTTGCATTCATGCTCTGTTGTACAGCAACCCCATGAGCACAGTATTTGAAACCCTTGTCCTGTTTAATTTTTTCAGCTACGCCACACACCAGAGAGAATGGAAAAGGAGATTTATCTCAATTTCAGGTGTTACCCGAGGCAGAGAGAAATCAATGAGAGGCACGGACACATCCCTCAGGACTTGAGGCCAAGGACGCAGCAGAGGTTTCAGCGTTGGCCAAGGGAGTCTGCTTTTGTTACCCAACAACCAGGATGCACTTCAACTCATGGGGTTACAGTTTTAACTATAGTTATTACTTTTGTTTCCATTTATTTAAGGAGCTGTTCCTGGGCTCCTAGGGCAGGAAGCTGTCATGGAAATACCGCCTGGCACAGTATACAACCAGGCTCCTAAGGACCAAGTAGGATGCACCAGGCAAAATGATGGAAACAGGAATCATTTTCCTGAAAACATCCAAAAAACCCACATCCCTTATCATGCTGGTGACTGATACAGGCAAGATCAGGTAAAAAAAAAAAAAAAAAAGACACTGCAAGTAACAAAACCCAAGGCCCTTACACAGCAGGAAGATTCATAAGTAGCTCAGACAACAGAGTTACAGTGCCTTTTTCAACCTTTTGTGCATATAGCATGTGCAAGTGCAGGTCACATGCATTTACAATGTGTGTATACGCACACACACGCCTCACCATGAAAACACATGCTGCTGCGTAGTTCCATGCTAGCCACAGCAACCTACCTCCCTGAAACATGTGGCAAATATAGTTCCCATATGGGGCACATCTTCCCTTCTCAGTTGTGAGTGACATGTCTGAAAATACTGTGTCTTTTAAAATTTCTACAGATTAATTAAGCAGCCCTGCTGCTGCTGCTGCTGCTGTGCTACTTCACTGCAAAGAGAAAAGGTTGTGAAGCTCCGCCTGTAGTCCAATATAGTGCCCCAGCAACAGCATCACATGATCTTATGTTTTGAAAGATTATCCTTAATGGCTTTTCACAAATGGCAACTTGCAGATAAAAATATGTTGCAGTCTGATAAACTTCAAGGCACCTTGATAAGAACCTGCATGAAGGAGAAACTGCCATTTGCCACATGTCTGACTACGTTTGCATGAAGGCACTTGGGAAAAAAAATGATAGTAATAAATGATTGGAATTATATTCAGGGGAATAACAAATAAGTTCTTAACCCATAGAGATACATGCCTGTGTATAAATGCTGTTTAAGAAATGCTTTGTCGTAGTATTTCTCTTCACCAGATCTTAACATCTCTGCTTCGGGTGGCCATCTCGCACCACCCATCTTCTACTCATGTGCACATGCCTGTTCGTGGCAGCACTATTCATCATGAAGAAAGTGCCCAACAAATGAGTCAAACAAAAATCAGTGATGTCACAACACTGATAAGAATCTTCAAATAGAAAAACGTGTCCTCATTAGTAGTAAATTTAAAATACTGTGTCACTTTAATTAATGGAATTACTGGGCATGCAAACGCCTGTCTATTCATTATTATGGCAGTGATGCGAAAGAGTAAAATCCCTTGGAAAAAACCCAACAAAAAAAATGACCTAATAAATAGCCTACTAGATACAATATATTCCCATGCTGCACATTTTTCAAAATAATTTTAGCTGCATTCATTTTTATAATCTGATTTAACAAAATAGGGGTTCTTGGCTTGATTCATAAAGTCATTAGTTATATATCCTCCTAGTATTTTCTTTCAGAAAATCAACATGCTAAACTCTTCCCTAAATATTCTCTGGCAGTAAAGCTAGCTATTTAGTAAAACCATCTGTAACCCCTGCTAAAGAATGCTTTGCTTCCAAGAACAAGCTTTTTATTTACCCTAGTGCCTTGAGCAAATGTTGTCCTTGTTCTAGCTGGGTAATAGTTGGAGTCTCATATTTTGCACACCTAAATCATGCCAACTCATACTGACACTGTAAAGACCCCAGAAATGGAAGGCACTTCAGGTTAAAACATTCACCCATGCATTGAGCAACAGATTCCTCATTTCCTGGCAACTCAGCAGTTCAGATCCTCAAGTAACAAAAATGTAGCAAATAGATATTTAAATGTTAGAGTGTCCATATTTTTACTTTACCTGGGACTATTCCATAGATTTCTTCTGCTATCCTGGCAGCCTCTTTTCTGTTGCCTTTGACAATGTAGAAATGGGTCAGCAGAGCCAAGGAAATCTTAATTAAAAGCTTGAAGCAAAACAAAGCAAAAATGGCAAAATAAATGTTAGTGAAAGCATGGAGTATAGAACTGCCCTCCATTTTGGTTTGCTCTTTGAATAGTTTCTCAGGTCAGCTAAGTTGCACCGGGCTATTCTTGGTATCGTATGTCATCTATTTTAAACCATCCAGAACCTGCTGTTCCTCAGTTACCAAAAATACATTCTGGTTTTATTTCATATGGGCTATTTGATACTAAATAACAATACCAAGGGTAAGATTGTTTGAATGCCCTATGCCACACAGGAAACAAACAGAAAATCCTTTCCAAACCCACATGCTTTGGAATAAATTCTCACATAGATGGTCTCCATACCAGCTGAAAATCTATACATACACATTATATTAGTTCTCTGATGTAGCAGTTCCATTTACAAAAGCTGCATAGGTAAAGTTGCAGAAATCATTCAGGAATACTGCAACAAGGGTACTTTTCTGTTTTCCAGTCTTGGTAAGAGGCCTTGCTGGTACTCAGACACAGAACAAAGGCAATCACATCAAAGAAAAGCATTACCATGAAAGAATCTGAAATAAAACCACATATTTTCAAAGCCACAGCTAAGAAGTCAAAGTTATTTTAGGAGGCAAAAAATATATTGAAGTGTGTAATCGGAAACACATGATAACATACTGGTGTTTTCCATCACTCAGGGATAATGGTGAATGGTGTCCACCAATATCCCTTGCAAACAGCATCTTACTGTTTTGAAAGAATGGAAGTATTTTTATGTTATCCATCATTGATTCAAAGGTGTAATATGTGAAACAGAAGAATCATAGAATCACAGAATCATCAAGGTTGGAAAAGACCTCAAGGATCATCAAGTCCAACAGTCAACCCACACCACCTAACTCACTAAACCATGTCCCTAAGCACCACATCTACACGTGTCTTGAACACCTCCAGGGATGGTGACTCCACCACTTCCCTGGGCAGCCTGTTCCAATGCCTGATCACTCTTTCAGCAAAGAAATTTTGTCTAATATCCAGCCTAAACCTCCCCTCGTGCAACTTGGAGGCCGTTTCCTCTTGTCCTATCACTTGTTACTTTAGAGAAGAGGCCAGCGCCCACCTCACTACACCCTCCTGTCAGGTAGTTGTAGAGAGTGATAAGGTCTCCTCTCAGCCTCCTCTTCTCTAGACTAAACAACCCCAGCTCCCTCAGCTGCTCCTCATAAGGCCTGTGCTCCAGGCCCTTCACCAGCTTCGTTGCCCTTCTCTGGACCTGCTCTTTAACTGCTCTTTTTAATTTGTGAAGGCGTATCACTTCCATAGAGAACAGAGAAATTTTTCTGCATGTAATTAATTGAAACTATATAGAATACCCCATTTCCTTTTCATTTAAACTTTTCTTGATTCCTATTTTCCTATATGCACAGCAGGAGGGAGATTTCTTTCTTTCTTTCTTTGAATCCCCTCCTTGCCCAGGTCCTCTTACCCTTCAATTTACATCTCTGTCAAGGGAAAGTGCAGGATGCCTCCCCTCTCTTAGAGATTCCAAGGAGATGGTGGATATGCAGAAGGAAATATTACAGCGAATTATTTCCCTGGACATTTTAGGTGCAATTTGTTTTGTTTTACAGCAATACAGCTTGCTCAGGACCTTGCTGTCTTCAGCACTCTGCCCCTCCAGGTGCACCAGGATTCTATATAAAATAGGTGTGAACAGACTGAAAAGAAAACACCCTGAGCTATTGTTTTATTTTTCAAGTGAAACAGTTTTTTCTAAAATTCTGAATTAAACAAGATATTACATCATTACCAAGAACTTAACACTTTACATAAATATTATGTATACTATTCATTACACAGTAATAGAATATGCCTGTAGAAACTACAACACCTATGAATCCAAAAGAGGAAAATTGCCTATTTTTAGTCATTTTAATACTGTTTGCCACAGGACAAGACAGTTGAAGACCCAGATTACATGGCAAGAGAAGTTCAGTTAAGGAATCAAAGAAAAACAGTTAAGTTTGCTCAACTGGGAAACAAAAAGGAGAAATCAGCAAACAAAGGTGGATCAAAAAAGGGGTGATCAGTTAGCCCTAGAAAAATAAGAGATAATGAAAACACCCCTCCTGAAGCCAGAGGAACAACAAATGTTGTAAAGAACAGACTATAGGATGCAGAGAAAAAGAACAGGAAAAAAAGACTCATTACAAAGAAAAGGTGACCCTAAATGATGGAGAAATCTTTCTCCTGCAGGATCTACAAAACTGGCACTCAATAGGACATAAGGAAGAAGGAACAGCACCTTTTAAGAGAAAGACCAGAAAAACAGTCTTTTGTTTGCAAAGGAGATCCATTGATCGTCTTTCACAATCAGCCTGCCAGAGAGTAGGTGGACTTGTACAAGCCCACAGCGCTCAGAAAAATACAAGAAACTGGAGACCAGGTGATTTCCACTGAAATTCTCTCATCCCCAAAGGAAGGTGAAATTCCAACAATACTGAAGAGCCCTCCAGCTGGTCTAAAAAGCCATGAGGTAGTTTGACCACTTGGAAGCAGTCAGAGGAATGCGACTTTTCCAGAAGAGCATAACAGCAAAATCACCCTCCTGGCTTCAGAACAAGACAACTGAAGATTTTTAGTTAAATTATGAAGTATTCAAGAAAAGTTTATGTTATCTCTTAGTCTGCTTTTAGTGTACAAGAACACTAGGAACCTGACTGCATCAGTGGGAAGACAGCTGAACAGCATGGTGGGAAGTATTAATACTGGTGAAGCTGATGGGAAGCAGTAGCAAGATCTGGTGTGATCTCTGAGAAATGTCTGGTAATTCTGAAACTAAAGGAAGGTGAGCAACATAATGTACGCATGAGAACAGACACAACACAACAGAAGAGCAATGGCAATGCAGAAACAGGAATCTCATCTTTCCTCCCTTGCTGTTCTGCATTTCAGTGAGAAATGTCAGATGTGACCTGAAGAATTTGGCAAGGAAATAAAGATTAGAGGGATCCCCTTCTCAAATTAAAAGAGGCATTGGTCTATTCTTACGCTAGACACTCTTTGAATTTCAGCACTGTATTTCTAATGTCTTTAGTTGAGAGTTTGAATATCAAATATATTTAATCAAGGTAAGACAACCGGGGGGAAAAAAAGGAGACAGAAACTATCTCAAAGGGAAGAGATCAGAACAAAGCTGTACGGACAGCCGAGCTACAAGTGACACTACTTCCCATACAAGCCTTGCCTCATTTGCATCTTTAGGTCAGTACACTTACAGCACCCCTCCTTTGAAAAAGTGATGTATATAGTGACTCCCTGCTTGCTCTGACACAAGCAACTGTGGGACTCATATCGCCTATCTGCACCACCTAAGGTCTGGTTATCTAAACTCCTGCTGCTGCCTGGGCAGGAAGACAGCAAATTCCAGCAGGCAATTAATTTCCCCGTCTGCCTCCAATGCCTGTGCTAGCAGGGGATGGCTCCTTCTCTAGCTGCATGCCGTCACTCACTCCTGATTAAACAACCAGCTTAAAGAACTACAGTGTGCTGAACAACCAGCTTACGCATGGTTAAAGTTCAATGAATCCTGCACAAATATAATCTCCAGAGTGACGTCAGTGTTGAAGCAAGTCAGAACCTGAAAACAATCCAATCTACCTGTTAAATTTACAGGAAAAATGCATAATTTCAGTACATGGTAAATTCAGATGTATAACCACATCTTGCTTTTAGTTTTCTTCCCTCAAAAAATACCCACCTTTTATCCAACTATGTCAGTGCTAAAGTAATGAGGAAAAACTGTGGAAGTCAATGTACTAGAGTGTCACAAAAGATGTACAGCATGTATGATGAGTGCAGTTTAATGATAGCAAATCAAAAATTTAAAATATTAAAATTTATTCTAAAAAAGTCTGTAAAACCATTTTCTTTTGAGATTGACTTCTTATATTAATTTACATAAAGTCTGTATTTTACTGCAGCATCAAAAGACGCAATTCTACAATTATTTATAAGCTTAAGCATATATGAAAAAAGGGACTAATGAAGACAAATAAATATCAAAATGGGAAAAATAAGTTTATTTTTAAAAGATGCAGAAAAACTTGACCACAAAAATAAGTACATTACAATGTATTTACCTTCTTCCAGTCTATTCACATCCTCTAAAACACAATCTGAAGGATGAACCTTACACTCATAATTTACTTGATACTTGTTCTGGTTTAACATACAATTTGCAATTATCAACATGCTAACTGTCCTTTAATTCACAGTGTCTGCATATAATGTATTGGAAACAGCATTTTTCCTCATCCCTGTGGGATGGAATTTCATTGCAGATCAATGGTCCCTTCTTCAAAAGGGGGGAACCTTCTATAGAGAAGGTTTTGGAGTGTTCCCTGCTCCTCCATACAGGAGGCTCTGCTCTGAGCAATACATCACTCCGTATCAGTCTCTATTTGGTAACATTTCCTTAGTATTTCACAATGGTCAGATGTTACCTACAAACACAACTGAAACATTTTAGATTTCTTAAATAGTTATTTTATTAATTTCTAAACACATTTTCATAAAATACACTTATTATCTGTGCTTGTTTTTATTATTGTGATTAGTTTATTTCAACTTTTCCCTTTTGCCTACTGATGCTTTTTAAAACGATAAATCATCCCTTACTTCACCGCCCAAGGCAGGGAAGTGAATCATTCCCGCAAAGAGTTACATGGAACACAAGTTGCATTACTTGAGAAACAGCATATTTGTAGTTAAACCAGTTATGGACTGAATTTACGTGGGAGCTTGTGCAGAATGTTTTTTAATCATCATCTTTCTCTTAAGAAGCCCAACCAGCAGTGATGAGAAGCAGAAGTATGGAGTATATTTCTGTACTTTCTAATTGCATGTTCTCACATATTAATGAAAAATATTAATTCTTTACGGAAAGGTAAATAAACTGTTAGATAAACTGCAAATTTGTCTTGTAAACAAGATTATAACAAGGTTTTATTATTTTATTCATAAGTACTCAACGTTCCACAAAGAAAAGAGAGGAGTATTTTGAATATTCTCACACCTCTGTTGAAAA